ATATATATTATGTGGGTGTGTTTTTATGTGTGTGTGTGTGCACGCTAGCGTACGTGTGCGTGCGTATGTGTGTACGTGTTTACATTATAATATTATTGCTTGCAATATGAACATAAACTTTAAATTACTAACTTGCATCTATCCTTAACGTCACAACACGGCGCCCACCAGTAACACCTTTCATTCCGAAATGCACAACTATTGAATAAAAATGTGTAAACATGAATCTTAAATAATAACGTATAAAGGGTTAAAATTCTATTAAGGATTTCATTAGGGTTAGAGATTGAGTTTACTATAGTGTGATAATACAAGTTTAGACATTAGAAATAAATTGAAGAGAGGAAAAATGTAGAATGGTGTAGGTAACTTTACATCATAGTAAGTTGGTCAGTCGAGTATTAAAGGCCAGTCGAACCAGTGTTAATGTAGGTCGCTAGGTAGTAGAATTTAAATATCAAAAGTTTATTTCGGACAGTTAAATAGCAAAAGTAGTGTCTAGGTTTGTAGACAATGAATTACAATTGATTAAAGTTGAGAGCAAGTTGATATGTTTACTTTAAATCATTATTTTTAATAGTATTTAAACTTGAAACCTTTGCCAGTGTTGCCCGGGCGAACTATCAATGTTGCGCCCCTACTCCAGCCCTTTGTAAGATATATTTCTTTAAGTTTGGAAAGTTTAGTGATACTTTTTATAAGTCACTTTATCGTATAGGTTTTTGTTGTGGTGCAACATAATTGATGTAAAAAAACAGTTAAATCAGTGAGTAAAGCTATGTAGCAATTAACTTAAAAATTCTACCCCTTTATTGCCGTCGCAGAATTGGGCCCATGGCGCCACCCCACCCGCAATCCCCAAGCTTCGCCATTGCCATTTTGTTCTATTCTAAACTGAATGAATTTATTGCACTGGCCAAGAGAAATGCAGGGTTAAAAGTTACCCGAAATACATCACCCCATCACAGATAAGTAGTATATTAGTTCCCTATTGGAGCGAATTTTTGGCGAAGCAGGAGCAAAGGATATATAGTAAAATACTCCACCACCTGGCGGAGCAGGTAGTGGTGGCACAGGCGCAGCCTAGTACAACGAGATATAGCAAAATACTCCCCCGCCTGGTGGAGTGGCGGAGCAAGTGAGTGAGGGTTAGACATGTTATGTAGTAAAATACGACGCCAACTGGCGGAGCAGTTGGTGGAGAGTAGTATATTAGGTATATTTTGGAGCGCAGCTGGAGCAATGACATATAGTAAAATACTCCAGGTGCAGGCGCAGGCGCAGCCTGGAGCAATGAGATATAGTAAAATACTCCGGATGAGGATGGGGAGGTGGCGCAGGCGCAGACACAGGCGCAGCCTGGAGCAACGAGATATTATAAAATACTCGGGATGGGAAGTCTGGAGCAATGACATATATTAAAATGCTCCAGGCGCAGGGCACAGGAAAAATGAGATATAGTAAAATACTCCGGATGCGGATGCGATGGTGGCGCAGGCGCATGGGGAAGGGGAGTAGGTCAGTAGGTCAGTAGGTCAGGTGACGGGGTGACCTTGTGACGTAATCACCATCGGTGACCTAGTTACGTAATTTGTTTATTTGTTTTTAATTTGTTTGTTGCTTTTTTCATTACCTTGTTTTTAGGTTTTCTGGTACTATCGTTCTACGCCTTTTTTGAGATACACGTATACACATTCATACACACACACACACACATTCACACACACTAAAAGTAGAACAAAACTCTTCTTATATTTTATTTATTTATTGATGTTCTTCCAAGTCATCAAAGGCTTTTAAAATATCATGCTGTAAACTAAACAAGCGTTCAATACATACTCGATTATAGTAACATGGGTAAGGTGAGTGAGCAGGTGGGTGAAGGGAGAGCAGGTGGATGAAGGGGGAGCAGGTGGGTGAAGGGGCAGCAGGAGTAGGAGTAAATTATATATAGTAAAAGACTCCACAACCTGGGTGAGGTGGGCGAGGAGATGGATGTTAATTTTAATTTTAATTTCATTTTTTTTATTTTTTCATCGTCTGTTAACTTTAAGGTTCTATAACTCTATATATTTAAATACATTTTTTTATTCAAGCAAGTTTACTTTCCCTAACATAAGTACATGTAAAGGGGGGTTTCCCATAGATCTGTAATGAATTAGGCCTTTTTGATCCATGCTTTGACATTATACACTTTTTTGAGATACACGTACACACATTCACACACACACACACACACACACACACACACACACACATACACACACGAAATTCATACTAGGTCTTTAAAGGCGGAGAGAACTCATAGGTATACATTATCATGGTGACAACAAAAGCGACCCTTTTTTACTTTCTCGTATATACGAAGTATAGAGAAAGTATTGTAATCGTGCAAAAAAAAAATCGAGATTTTTATAAATCTCCACGTTTTACACCTCACTGATACGGAAAAACATAATTTTGCAATCGTGTCCGTATGTCTGTGTGTCTGTCTGTCTGTGTATGTGTGTGTCCACTAATGCAATGTTTTATAAAGGGAAGTAATTGTGTTTTCCTAATTTATCAAAGGGAAGTAAGTGCTAAAGGACTAAATATAAATAATTTTCAGACATAATTAGAGTTTTTGTAAAAGATGATATTTTTTTTTAAAATGGGTTTAATGAACATGCCGACAATTATTACTATCAGTTTGAAAAATGAAAATTATTTTCCAACACTTTCAATAGTAATTTTTTAACTCATAAATTTGGACTATAAGCACGATAATAATCTAACACTTAAATCCATCCAAGTATGTCCACGACAAACAAACTTATTACATGTTACATACAGAATTGAGCTTTATATTTTAGACTAGCCGTCCCGGCCAGGCCCTGCTCTGGCTTCTGTGAAAAACCTTTCTGTTAAAGACCATTACCTGTGTGTTTAGTAATCATCATAAACCCGGCATTGCCCACCCAAACCACAACAACCAAAACAACAAAACGCCAACATAACGTTAACACAATTACAAATACAAACGAAAACAAAAACCTAACAACAAACCCAACCACAATCACAAACACCAATACAAACACAAAGAAAAAACAACGAAAAAGCAAACGAAAACAAACCAAATCCAAACGCAAAACCAACCACAAACACAAACCCAAAGAAAAAAACACAAACGAAAAAGCAAACGAAAACAAACCAAATCCAAACGCAAAACCAATCACAAACACAAATACAAACACAAACCCAAAGAAAACAAACACAAACGAAAACGAAAAAAGAAAGAACAAAAACGAACCAAATCAAAACGCAACCACTAACCAAACCAAACCAAATGAACAATTATAATACTCCAAGCTTATTCGTAAAATACATACAACATTTGCACTTGATCAATCCCCGCTAATTATGTAATTATTTTTTTCCCAACACCAAAGCAAAGTAATAAAAAGTAAATTCTTTTCCACTAATGCAATGTTTTATAAAGGGAAGTAATTGTGTTTTCCTAATTTATCAAAGCGAAGTAAGTGCTAAAGGACTAAATATAAGTAATTTTCAGACATAATTAGAATTTGTGTTATTTTTTAAAAATTGTGTTTAATGAACATGCCGACAATTATTACTATCAGTTTGAAAAATGAAAATTATTTCCCAACACGTTCAAAAGTAATTTTTTAACTCATAAATTTAGACTATGAGCACGGTAATAGTCTAACACTTAAATCCATAGAAGTATGTCAACGACAAACAAACTTTTTACATGTTACATACAGAATGGAGCTTTATATATTAGATTCAATCAAATCACTCTAAAGTACAAATCTATAATTTTGATTGATTAAGGGGCTGGGTGAATTATTTTTATTTGGGTGCCCAGGGAAGGTTTTGGATTTGGTTGGGACAGAATGTATACTACTAAAGAAAAACCTAATTTTGTACACGTTCGTTGTGGTGGAGTATTTTAAACATACAAACAATCAAATAAAATGAATTAAACCAACAAATTAAACAAACAAATTAAAATTTTAAATCAAAATTTAAAAGTTTTAAAAATTAAAATTTAAAAATTAAAATTTAAAAATTTTAAAAATTAAAAAATATTAAAAAATTAAAATTTAAAAATTTAAAAATTTAAAAAATTAAAAATTAAAATTAATAAAAATTCAAACTAATTAAAAACTAATTTTAAAAAAATTAAAAATAAATAATCAAACTACGTAACTAGTTAATAAAAATTACAAAAAAATTAAAAACAGACTAATTAAAAACAAACTCATTAAAAAACTAATTAAAAACTCATTAAAAACAAATTACGTAACTAACTCACCGATGGTGATTACGTCACAAGGTCACCCGATCACCTGACCAACTGACCTACTGACCTACTCCCCCTCCCCTTGCGCCTGCGCCAACGCCAGTTGGCGTAGTATTTTACTATATGTCGTTGTACCAGGCAGCGCCACCTGCTTCGCCACCACCTGTTGGCGTAGTATTTTACTATATGTCGTTGTACCAGGCTGCCCCTGCGCCTCCACCACCTGTTCCACCACCTGTTCCGCCAGTTTGCGTCGTATTTTACTACATAACATGTCTAACCCTCACCCACTCGCTCCGCCATTTAACCAGGGGGGGAGTATTTAGCTATATCTCCGATTTCAGCCTGCTTTTCTTTTTGGATTTGGTTCCATAGCCTTTGTCTAACCAAGAACAAACTTCAAGGCAGCAGTTGTTTAATTTTGGAGTTGTCTCTCCTAGAAGAGTGGCTGTCCCCAGCTAACGAGCCTCATCTGCCCGAGGGTTCTAACTAGAGTCTTTTCGGTTTAGCAATGTCATCTATCACATTTTGAGTAATTTTCATTGAACGAAAGTAGTAATTTACGCTATTTCCAATTTCTCAAAAAAAACGGATGTGAATTTATAAAAACTTTAAATAATTAAAAAATGGATTAAAAATCATGTCCATATCTCGAGCTGACATCGCCCGTAGTGTTATATAAAGTTTAGGGGAGATCACTTCCAGGTTTATTTAGTTTATTGTCTCATATTTTTGTACTTTTATTAAAACTATATTTTGTAAAATTAATACTAAAGTTAGTATTATTTACATCAATTGAGGAGTCGTACAAATCGGCACGATTTATTTGCATATTAGATACACTTATGACAAAAGTGTCTATTAATAAAAAAGTATTGTTAATAATAGGCTTGAACTAAACGACCCCTACATGTTAGACGCTTAAAATGCTTTTTAAAAACAACTTTTACAATTCGAAGCCGAGTATATTGTCTGAGTCATGTAGAAACATGTCTAGTAGTAGACTATTTTGGCATTGGTAATGTATGGGGTAAAATGAATACAACTTACCTACTACCTCTTTTTGTGTACGGGTTGGCATCTATTTCAGCTGAGATCATCAAAAGCATCATTAAAATCAACATATGCATCAGCAGCATCTCTCACTGTTCATAGATTAATACTGTTTTTATCCCTAGGGCTAAGACTGTTTTGATGTTTGGAAACGTAGTTACTTCAGTTTACATGCAAACTTTGATTAGTAAATTATACCTTTTTAGCGCAATTTCCATACTGGCAATTGCGATTATTAATTCGTTATTTCTGGATGGATGGATGGATGGATGTGTGTCCGCAGCTTTAAGTCGTATCTCCTCCTCAACTAAGCAATATCGAGGACTAGTTCCAAAGCAAATATGTTAAGCACGTTCCGAGGATGATTGTGGGCCAAAAAAATCCCGAAATTCCTTCCTGGATTTCCCAAAAAAGCCAAAAAGAAACCGCAAAAATGCAGTTTTTTGCTCATATCTCGGCAACCAGACCACATAGTGACTTGAAACATTTACCAATCGATTTCTGCCATAATGTAGAACAATATAGCAGAAGAAAGTTTTCAAAAATATCATTTCGTTCGGTCACAAAAAATTAATTAAAGAAATTGCGCTTAAATTGTCACTAGACTTTTTATTAACTTGTTTTTAAATTAATGGCCTTGAAATAATTTTTCATTTTGTTCCAACGAATAAATAACGAACTATTTGACTATCAAGGGACAAAGATATAGTGCATTTAAATATCTAATATTAACCCTTTAAATGTTAGGGATATATTTGTCCCTTAACGTTAATTTTACATCAACTGAAATTTTCACACCATAGATATAGGTAATTCCTTGTAAGTTTTCATTATAGAAATTTGGATAAAACGTTGAAAATAATTTTAAAAAATAAAAGTCTGATGTGGTTCGACACGTTTTATCCGATTGCTATGAAATTTTATGGAGTTGATTAAAACACTGCAATGGAGGGCTTTACGTGTGTGATCAGGTATTATATTCTGGATTTCCCAGAAAGATTCACAACGGTAAAATGCGCTAACATTGTGTTCAGGTCTTATTGTCGTAAAAAAACGTATTAACATATCCTGTTGAACTTAATCAAATACACCATTCATAACGCGCACGATATTTTCTTCTGATGAAAGTCAAGCATCTCTAGCCAGTTATTAAGGCATCTTCCGACGTCGTTTAATTCTTCTGTTCATCGTAATTCCCAAGAATGTGTATTTTGTTTTGGCGTTTTCAACAGCATCTTGGTTTAAATCATTACGAAGATTGACAAATTCTTGCTCAAAAGATTCAATATCAGTTGCTACTTCATTGAAATATATAGTAGTATCCTGTAAGCGCTTTTGTGTGTATGCAATTGTGTTTGTTTTTTCGTTATCGTTTGTGTTTGTTTTTGTGTTTGTGTAATGATTTTTGGTTTTTGTGGATTGTGATTATTGATAAGTTTAAAGTTAGAGTTTGTTTTTAGGGTTATGTGTTCTTTTGTCAAGCGGCCATGCCGGGTATATGTTGCTTAATAAACACACAAGTCATGGTCCTTTACTGATCGGTTTTTTTGACAGTGGCCAGTGTTCCTACGGTCCGTCCGCCCTCTGTCCGGTACAGAGCCCAGAATTTGTTTGAGCATAATATAAAATACGAGCAGACCCGCGGCGTATCATACGCCGCTATTTAGTTGTTTTATTTTCTACTTTTCAGTAATTTATAATTTGTGAATTCGACAGTACCAACGCTGCCACTGAAAATATTTGCTTTAAAACACTATCAGTAGGTCGTTAAGGACGATACCCCCCTTCTTTCCCTCCCCCCCCTCCCCCGTGAAAGTAAACTCCTCTTAGTTACCTCCCCTAAGTTTAAAATCATTTCAAACTAAATTATCTGCCCCTAATAGCCGTCACTAAACCCGGCTATACGATTGTAAACATTTAGCGTGAACCATAGCTCACCAGACCATGTAGGGGTGGGGGTGGTAGGGAGCGCACTTACAGCTTGGTGTTTTCTATCGCCTCCAAGAAGAGAATTATATAGATAGATTTGTAATGACAGTGATTTATTTTCTTCTATGAATAACGAACCAGTTTACCATCAACCGACATAGAACAAGCTGACCGTGAATGTACATAGAACCATTTGACATTGCGGGACTACAGAATACATGTACTTGATAATATATTCTTATAGCTTTACTAACTATAATCAACTATTCTTATTTCTGATTGAATTTTGTTTTTTTAAGTTTATGAGCTATCCATACTTAAGCTTCATACTATAATTTTTATAGTGAAGAAACTATTTGTACGGAGCATTATACACTATTTTTTAGGTTTACCACACTATCCATACTGTACTTACGATATGTAAACTAGGCTGGGTGGCTTGCTGAATGAACAACACTAGCCTCAATGCTGATCTTTCAATAAGCCCATTAAAAAAACTCATTACACAACCTTTTTAAAAATAAATTGTTTAACCACACTAATTTGAATTAAATGCATTTAAATATCTACTCTTAACCCTTTTAACGCAAGCGATAATAAAATTGTACCTCACTGTTAAATATACAACAAATGTAATTTTTTTTTTCAATTTTAGGTATAAGTAATTCATTGTTAATAATAAAAAAAAAACAATAAATCAAAATTATTAATCCTACAACTATTAAAAGAAATTCCCCTGACAGTTTCTATAGATTCCTTGCAAACACTTGGCCTAAATCACGTGATACTTACGTCCGCCGCCACGTTGGCGAACACCCACAAGTAAACAATCAGATGTTTCGCAGCGGTGGGCGTGTTTCAAAATGTGTTTATCATTAGTTAACAGCCTCGCACCCGCAAAACAGGAACAATACGTAAAATAATTTTTAGGAATTGAAGATCGTTATATTTGAGTTGACATAAAATGCAGTAATACAGATAATTTAAATATACATCTAGTTAGTAAATATGCTAGATTCTCTAGTTAAGTACAAGATTCAGTAGCAATAGATCTGGTAGATCTACGCTACAGTAACAAACGTGAGACCACTTAACCCCTACAAAACCCTCAATAAAACTGCTTATCTATTCCTGAAGTAACAACCACTGCTGTTCTTAGATCTCAGCCAATCTGGGTAACATGTTATGTAATTTATGACCCACATGGTCCAGCAGGGAAGTGATCCGACACAATATACTGCTTCCCCCTAAAATGTCTTACCTACATGATATTTAGCCCAAACCTGTTTCTAGCCCATTATAAAACTTCATCTATTTGTAGGTAACATGAATTACTCGTTGATCTCGTTGTATATAGCATGGATTGCTGAACTTAGATCTCAGTCAACCAGAGATGGTATCTCTTAAGTAATTTATTACCCTCAGGGCCCAGCAGGGAAACAAATGGGAAACTAGTACAACTGATTAGCTTCTAAATTTAACTAAACTCAGTCCATTATCAGATACTTAGTAGGTAGGCCTACATAGTAGGTAGGCCTAAGTAATTTATTAAAGCCTTCTACAACAAAAATATCAACTACTTTTAAAATTTAACTTAAGTAGCAGATTCTAGATTTTAGTCTAGTCATATAATCTATTTCAATTTCAGATAATTTCGTTTGCTAATTAAAATGATTAGAATCTAGGGCTAGATTCTAGATCTTAGAGACAAACACATTTTTATTATTAGGCCTATTTTTTATTTGTTAATTATTGGTGTAATATAAATCGAATATAGGTCTAAATTTTGTAGGCATAATAAAATTTATTTAATTTTGTAATTAAATTTAATTAAATAAGTAGATTCTAGATTCTCTGTCTACCTAGCGTAGCCAGTCACTCTAAATTTAGATTTAATTTCGTTTACAACATGATTAGATTTAGAGCTGGATTCTAGATCTAAATGTTATATAATTATTCCAATAAAATTGTATTATTACTTTTGACTTTGGTGTATTGCTATTAATATTTATGAAGGCCGAGCATATTTGTTTTATTAACAGTTGCTTTGTTAATTCAAATGAAGTTTATTGTTTACTGTCACTACCTTTTTTTTGCGCTGCTTCACTCACACCGTTTTGGCTAAATATTGACATCGTCTACGTTCTGTTGATTGTCGATCTCTGTCACCTTGGTTTAATATAATTTTTGGCATTCGAAATACAGAAATCCCTTTAGATCTGCCACTTCGAGTAATACAACCTTCCACAGCACAGATCGCCATTTTGAATGCGGACCTGTACACCGTGATGGCGGATGTTTACATAGTGAACGATCCGCGACTTCATATAAAAGGACTCTATTCGAATGTATTGTGTGTTGATTTTCGATGTGAAATACAGTTGACTTTTTAAAATAAGCAGGTCTATGGACCGTCTTGTCATATTCAATCGTCAAAATTTGAAAAGAAATATCAAAAAACCCAAAAATAGGGCAGAAAGAGGAAACAAAGTTGAATCTCATGTATTGTATAGTTCTCTACCTAACTACACACACCTCAGTTCAGAGACATGTAACTGTGCTGTTTATAAATGAATTCTATGCAAGTAAACAATCTATCTCTTTGTATATTAAAAAAAAAATATTATTACAATACTTACAATAGGTGTTTCTGGTTAAATAGCAATTATTATAAATCATTTTAAAATACAGATTATAAAAAAAGGCTCATACTACAAATTGTATTAGGCAAAGCAAAGTTTAATGGACGAAAATCAAATTTGCTGACACCTTGGCTTCTTTAAACTCGTACTCCACCTGTTTTAAACAATAATTAAGGAAGTTAGAAAAAAGAATGATTTTTCTCGAGGTTTGCAATTCTAAAATAGATCTATAATGTTTATATCAAACTAAATTTAATTAAAAAAAAAACAAATAAAAAACATTAAATAAATAAATTAATACATGAGTGGATGGATGGATGGATGGATGGATGGATGGATGGATGGATGGATGGATGGATGGATGGATGGATGGATGGATGGATGGATGGATGGATGGATGGATGGATGGATGGATGGATGGATGGATGGATGGATGGATGGATGGATGGATGGATGGATGGATGGATGGATGGATGGATGGATGGATGGATGGATGGATGGATGGATGGATGGATGGATGGATGGATGGATGGATGGATGGATGGATGGATGGATGGATGGATGGATGGATGGATGGATGGATGGATGGATGGATGGATGGATGGATGGATGGATGGATGGATGGATGGATGGATGGATGGATGGATGGATGGATGGATGGATGGATGGATGGATGGATGGATGGATGGATGGATGGATGGATGGATGGATGGATGGATGGATGGATGGATGGATGGATGGATGGATGGATGGATGGATGGATGGATGGATGGATGGATGGATGGATGGATGGATGGATGGATGGATGGATGGATGGATGGATGGATGGATGGATGGATGGATGGATGGATGGATGGATGGATGGATGGATGGATGGATGGACGGATGGACGGACGGACGGATGGAAGGATGGATGGACGGACGGATCGACGGACGGATGGACGGACGGACGGACGGACGGACGGACGGACGGACGGACGGACGGACGGACGGACGGACGGATGGATGGATGGACGGATGGATGGATGGACGGATGGATGGATGGATGGATGGATGGATGGATGGATGGATGGATGGAAGGATGGATGGATGGATGGATGGATGGATGGATGGATGGATGGATGGATGGATGGATGGATGGACTTTATATTTTAACCTGCATATTTGATTCATTTTGTCACAACAAGGCTTTTTAACATTACATTCTTGATCCTCATGTACACACCTGAAGAATAAATTTATTTTAACGGAATTATAAATCTTTAATTCTCTCCTTCTCTTTCTCTTTCTCTTCATATTTTTCATACTCTCAACCCATCCACCATTCTTTTTTTGACACAATCAACCCGTCCACCATTACTCATTTTAACACAATCCACTTGTTCAACATTCCTCATTTTAACACAATCCAACCGTCTACCATTCCTCATTTGACATAATCCACCCGTCCACCATTCCTCATTTTAAAACTATCTACCCGTCCACAATTCCTCATGTCCGAACATCCTCTTTTAACATAATCAATTCGTCTACCCATCTCACTTTTATCACAATCCCCTCATCCATCAATCCACATTTTAAAATAATCCAACGTTCCCCATCCACTTTTTAACACAATCCGCTAACCTGTGTATGTTAATACTTGCCACGCTTGCATATTTTTTAAATACTAGCCATTATGGGCTAGGCTTTGCACCCACCACTTACAGCAATGTTTATATTTAAAGAACTGTGCTTATAAAGGTATGCCCAAAGCAGTAACCCATACAGTTTGACGTGATTCTAAGAACTAACCTACACAGCACCTGCTATTCCCAAAATAACACGTTTCGTTATAGAAATATGATGTCCAATAATTAAACCTAAAACGCTAGTTATTTACCTTCCATCTCCTGGTAAACAACAACATCATGAGATTTAATTAAAGTATACACACATATAAGATCGGAATAGTATCGGTTAAGTGAATACAGCTTTTGGCAGCGTCGTAACAAACTATTGCAAAGCATAACATTGTATTGTTAAATAACCTAAATTTCAACCGATATGTTAGCTGCCTTGTCGTATTGTTAAATAACCTAAATTTCAACCGATATATTAGCTGCCTTGTCGTATTGTCAAATAACCTAAATTTCAACCGATATATTAGCTGCCTTGTCGTATTGTCAAATAACCTAAATTTCAACCGATATAGTAGCTGCCTTGTCGTATTGTCAAATAACCTAAATTTCAACCGATATATTAGCTGCCTTGTCGTATTGTCAAATAACCTAAATTTCAACCGATATGTTAGCTGCCTTGTCGTATTGTTAAATAACCTAAATTTCAACCGATATGTTAGATGCCTTGTCTTATTGTCAAATAACCTAAATTTCAACCGATATGTTAGATGCCTTGTCGTATTGTCAAATAACCTAAATTTCAACCGATATGTTAGATGCCTTGTCGTATTGTCAAATAACCTAAATTTCAACCGATATGTTAGATGCCTTGTCGTATTGTTAAATAACCTAAATTTCAACCGATATGTTAGCTGCCTTTCTTAAGTCTTGTACATCATCTAACTCTACTTCACCTGGTCACTAGCGAACAGATTTTTAAACTCCTGATAATTACCAACATTTGTAATTACCCTCTGCACAATACATATTACACCAATACTTATCACAGTCTTTCCCAAAATCCATCTGTCACTCTAATCCTTTTTCTAATCAAAATCATATGCTTATCCTTGATCTTTATCCCATCCCTTATCCTTATTGTAGATTATCATAAATATTACCATTACCATTAAAAATAATCATTACAATCACCCTTACCATTACTATTATCGTTACCATTACCGTTAAGAATA